ACTTCAGTGTTCACTTTTATAGTTACACATGCTCTATCTCTGATATTGAACACTTTATCCCATAAATATAGCACACCTTAAGACTATATTTCTTCATATATATATATTTGTGTATATATATATATATATATATATATATATATATATATATATATATATATATATATATATATATAATTATTATAATAAAACAAACACTTAAAAAGACCATGGTGATCCATTAGAATTGGAGATTCAATCCTAACTCATCAGACAAACTTTTATGCACAAATAAAAGTAAAAATCCTTGTCCATTTATATTTGTGTGTAAAGTTGGTCTGATCAGTTAAACTCAAATCTTTGATCCCAATGAAATAAATATCACCAAGGTCTTTTTTAAGTGTTCATTCATTATAAAGCCAAATATTATAATTATATATATATATATATATATATATATATATATATATATATAGAGAGAGAGAGATAGAGATAGATAGATAGATAGATAGATTATGGATTTGAATCAACCCACAACAAAGAAAAAAATGAGAAAGGTGTTTGAATATAAAAATATAGAATATTTTTATTTTTGTGTTTTTACAACTAAATTTTTCATAGTGTTTATGAGTGTTAAAATTCTTGTTTGTAGTTGTTTGTTAAGATGAAAAGAAATGTGTTTTTTTTCCTGTGTATGTGTGAGAAGGAAGAGTCAAGGGTAAAAGTGGGAGGAAAGTGTCACGTAGCTTGGTAAGAAAGACAGGTGAATGAGTAAGGGAATTTCTTTGAAGCCGAACATTGTGAAACTGTTGCCATCTGTTGCCATTTGTCTTTCTTTCCTGGTTTGTCCATCTAAAAACTTTGCTGAAATATCCTTCAAAGCAATACCACGCAGAAGTGGGAGCAGAGAGTGTGACAACCCTATGAAGAGAGCAAATAAAAATTTAGCTTATATTTAATTTGAATAAAGTGTTTATTTCATGTTTCATCTGCTTTTACATCTTTAAAATATTTTCCTTTGACATATTTCTCAGTACTATTGCCCCCACTCCCCCTTTACTTGAGTCTTAGAGACATACAATCAAAGACATGGTTCCGAGCATCACCAAACCTCTGCATGTCACTGGCAGTGTTGGCAATAACATTATCTGGTTGAAAAATAGAAGTTGACCATTCCTTTTTAGAAAACAATATTGTCCACTATTCCAAACATTTTTTGCAGGATTCTATATATAAGAAGAGGTCAGTATATCAGAACAGATCAATAAGCCTGCGGTCTTTTATATATGTTAACCTTGTTTCTCCCTTTTTAATATTTTCTTCTGGCTATAAAGTCATTATTATTCAACATTTGTTTAATTGCTTTTTGTATCCAAAGAATCAACTTCTGGTGTTGTTTTACTAAACTCATGCAGGCATTCAATTCTTGCAACCAGAACATATTGAGAAAATTATTAAAAAATAATTGTTTGAAAATAAATATTTGAAAACATTTATTTGAAAAACATTTATTTGAATTGTTGTCCTAATCTTTATGGCCATATTCAGGACATTTTGGCCATTGTACACTCTGATCTTCTTCAGGTGATATCCATTGGAATTTCAACCCAAACTCTCCATTTTTTCCATGAGGACAACAGTCCAAATGATGTAAATAGTGTAAATAATTACAATACTTCATCTCAAAAATATAGACAGATGTTGAAGGTGAATATGGCAATAAAGATGAGGACAACAGTCCAAATGATGTAAATAGTGTAAATAATTACAATACTTCATCTCAAAAATATAGACAGATGTTGAAGGTGAATATGGCAATAAAGATGAGGACAACAGTCCAAATGATGTAAATAGTGTAAATAATTGCAATACTTCATCTCAGAAATATAGACAAAATTCTGACATTTTCTAATTCAAAAGAAAATTAAAATTGTTGCTGTTCTTTAAAAAAAACTGCAATGTGATGCTAAGTAGATTTTTTATGCTGTTTTAAGAATTAATAAACATTATTTAATTCAAATGTAATTAAAAAATCTTTCAAAATATCAACTTCAAAATATCAACAGTATAAACAAACACTTCTGAAAATTAAAGCTGTTACTTTTCTCTGAGAAACCTGCAATGTAGTGTTAAGTGGATGTTGCAATGTCTCTCTGTATGCATATGAAATGAATAGAGTGGATTAGCCTAACCTGAGACACATTAAGATGTGGGGCCCAACTGTGAGCAATGGATCCAACTGGCTTAAAGCCAGCTCTGTTTGCATTTTTCATATACAATGGCAGAAATGAACTTGCTTTGAAAGATTGTAAGATAAGCATATAAACCACTACAATAGGCAAGTTAGAGCAATGCAATCAATAAGAAGCCAACTTTGGCCAGGGGAGGTTGTATTTTTCAATTTCATCCTCATCCTCTTCATCTTACTTTCTCACTTCTCATACATCTTTGGTGCTATATATTTTTACCCAATTCTTATACAGCTAAATAAATAAACGGCAAATTCTCTCTGTCCATTTGTGTGTCTGACACCCCTCACTAATTCAGGCAACACTTGCTCTACATAGATCTATTATACCTTTTTGGAATCAGGATGATACTGGGATTGAAAATCTGCCCTTCATCTTGTGCTTGAACAAGAATTGGGATTTGTGTCCAGATGAGTAGGGAACAGTTAAAAATTCAAATTTTAAAATAACTGAAAAAAATTAGTGATTTAATTTATATTGAGTTAAAAAGTAACACAAAAATTTTGGAATTTAAAAAGTTTTGTTTTAAATTCAGTTTAAAATATCTCCAAAACTTTGTGAATTGAGGAAATTTTATTTTATTTCTTCAAAATGCCAAGGAATCAGAATTAAAATGAGAGGTTTTGTGACATGAGGTTTTGAAGTTATACAGAGTATGGGATTTGAAGAACTCAATTTTTGGCCTGAATTGGAATTTTGACCCAAACTAGAGTTCCAGCTCAAATTGGACTTTTAGCCCAAATCAGTCTTTTAGCTGGAATTGAACTTATATCCTGAATCAAAGTTATGGGGAGGTTTTGAAGCTCCATGGAGTGAATTGAGAAATTCCAAGTTATTTCTTCACAATTATCATTGTTGTTTTCTAAACTGAGCCAGAGATTCCTTTAGTTTTGGGCCAGAGACCCATTTAGCCCTCCACAGGATCTAGAATAAAAGCATGCTTGGAGTGCAGCTTTGAAACTAGTACACAATATAATAACTTAAACCTACATAAGGAATTTTTAAAAGATGTATATGCAAAGTTAATGAAAATCAGATCTTAGTTATTGTAAAATTTTGCTTTTAATTTCATCTTTGCATAAAAGTCTGTCTTCCTTTCAAGAATACATTGGCAAAAATTCTATTGACTTTGAAGCTTGCAGAATTATTTCAATGACTTCCTATCTGATACCTGATATTCTGAAACCATTTTATTTAAAACTATCAACTGCATTAATTAGTTTGATCACATTATGCCAAACTAATTGGGAAATACTTAGTAGAAAAAAAAACAAAAGAAAAATACAATTTACAACTGCAAAGTCTGGACAAAACCACTTGTGATGCAATATCATCTTCATGAAGCAGCCATCGAGAAAAATGCCCGTGCTTTGCTCTACTAAAAATTCAAGTTTCAGAGTAGAGAGAAAAAACATATGTTTGGTCACATGGCCACCTCCTTGTAAGTTGTATTGAAGATGAGTGGTAAAATCACAATTTTCAAATGACTCTCAAAAATATCTCAGTTTTAGGATTCATATCTGATAATGCAAATTTTAATATTTGTTTTTATCACTATCCATCTCCTCATCTTTGTTGTCCGTTTTTGACTGTTGTGCTCTCTAGCCTTCTGCAGGTGTTTCTTGATCAGGGTAACTTTCAGGGAATTTTGATCTGAACCCTTTATTCAATCTATAGGAGTAGAGGGTTCTCATCCCACTATGCATGCCTTGGGGGTAATATAAGATAAGATATACCTAAACATGGACAGTGAAATGAGAACAATCTATGCAGGAGGTTGAATAAATGTTTGAAATTTACAGAAGGTTACACTGATTGTCAGGCACCTGAAGAAGGTTTCAGGGCACAAGAGCTGAAACATTGTGATATTAACAAAAAGATGAAGATTTTTGTAAATAATGTAGATAATTTAATTATCATATTTTTGCTTTTTAAATAACCAATATCTAATTATAGTTACAATTAAGCAATTAAAATGGAATTCGATTAAGAACTGTTTTTTTTTTTTTTTGCTAGTGATTGTAAAAAATAAACATGCAAAAATTAAGAAATTAAACGAATATAAATGTAAAAGAAAAAAACTAAAAAAAAATAGGAAACAAACTTTGTTTTATAGAGTGATATCATTTAAATTCTGGACAGAGTCCTTCATCAGATATACATTTAACAGATTGGAAAACATTAAATGATTTGTTACAAAAAAATTACCAGCTTTATTTTTAACTTTATAAATAATGTTATTGTTATAAGTACTGTTAAAAAATACTGTTATAAATGATGTTGTAAATAATTTTATAAATACTGTTATAAATACTGTTCAAAATACTGTTATAAATACTGTTTAAAATACTGTCATAAATAATGTTGATATTGATTTCAATGATTAGTATAAATACATATAAAAAATTTCAGAATAAATTAATAGAAAACATCAAATTAATTAAGAAGTAAACTAAAGTCCTTGTAAAAGTGGATGAGTCATCAAAAATATAGAATTGATTGACTAATTCATTTTTTACGGCTTATCAACCCATCACAGGTTATTTAAAGCCAGAAAATATTTTTAGATTATAAAAATTATTTTTGGGGAGATAATGAAGATTTACTGATACAAATCTTACTAATTAACCTATACCTAGGGGAGATTCATACCTTTTCCAAGGGTATTTGCACATAAGTGAATATAAAAAACACAACAAGAATTAAAACTTGGCTCTCTGATTAAAACTTCTGAGTCATTATCCATTACATCACCAGCACATCCAAGCTCAAAGCATCTGGTATTCCAATGCAGTCACTCATCTAGGTACTGACCAAGCTCAACATTGCTTGACCTCAGTGATTGTATGGGAACTGGTGTTTCAATGTGCTGAGGTTGTAAGCCCCAATATATATAAGGTAAACCTTGAAACATATAAAAATGTCATGTATAACGTAAGAATAAAATTTTACAAGAAAACTCCTGACAATTATATCAATAACATTAATACTGAGGTTAGAGAATATATATATATCTCAATAGCTTTAAAAATTAATGACTGAGTGGAGGAATACCAAACAAAGGATACTTTCTGCACACTAAAAGACCACAAAGCAGTCTTCAAGAACAGGCCCAAGTATAGGCTACTGAACCAATTGATCACAGAAGTGGGAAAAATTAGCAAAATGATAATGCTTTTGATAGATACTAAGGTAAACCATTGGTGATGTACTGGAGAATGTATAAAATGGTTCAACAATATACAAATTTGAAGAGGATGTACATTCTTAAAATATGATATTAAAGACTTTTATCCATCCATAAGTCAAAAGTCACTGTGGCCGAGGGCTTGAGCATGCTTCCCTTGTTCAGATTGTTGATCATGCTAGATAACATGCTCTTTCCCAGAAACTGTAACTAAGGTCTGCTCAGCATAGTTACAGTATAAACCACAGGTAGGCTACGTGAGTGTTGAATAAACACAAATGCGCTTGAGCAAGTATCTACAATAGGAATTGGCTAGCCACCCTAGTAGATGGGTATGCTTGAATATGAGTGGCCAACTATATACATCCATCCATATCATGTGAAAAATTAGATAAAGCCTAAACTTCTTCTGGGATTATATGAATATCTCAGACCTGCAGGTGCAGATTTTTGAACACTATAACAAGTCCATATATTATAATAACAATTTGTGGGTGAAAAAGGAACCAAAGAAAAATGTGAACTTTGACACTCTGATGGATTCATTTGATGGGGCTGAGACTTGTGCACTCATAGGATTGTTCCTATTGTATAACCTAAAGTAATAAATAATGGACTATATAAAGATGATAGCCTTGTATTTATTGAAAACAGCAAAGGTAGAAAAATTGATAAAATCAGAAAAAAAACTTGTTTCAATTATTTAAAGACTTTGGATTTAACATCACTGTAGATACAGTTGAATATCTTGATATAAAATGAAAGCTTAATGATGTAATAGTGGAACCATAGAGAAAAAAACAAACTGTGAATTAAGATATGTGTTATATAGGAATAAAGTGTCACTGCTGACTGACACTTGAGTTTGAACATAGATCACCAGACCATGACTGTTTCATTTTCTGTCTATATCTCTGAGATGAAGTATTATGATTACTTGCATTATTTACATTATTCAGACTCTTATCCTCATCTTCCTTGCCATATTCACAATGTTTCGACCATTGTACTGTCTAGCCTTCTTCAGGTGATTGGAATTTTAAACCGAACTCCTTATTTCGTCCACCGGGGTGGATAGTTTTAGTTCCACGTGCCATGCCTCTTCCAGATGTCTCAGTTCTTTTCCTTTAAAACATCTTTCCAAGCTTTTGGTTCACCACGGCTGTGGCCTGGTACTGAACTCACAGTTGTTTCATTCTATATATATATATATATATATATATATATATATATATATATATATATATATATATATATATATGTTTAAGTGAACATAGAAGTCAACACTTAGAGATGACAATCAGACGATTGCATCCAGCATGAAACAGACTATTTGCCTCTAAGTGTTGACTTCTATGTTCACTTTTATATTTACACACGCTTTATCTCTGATACTGAGCACTTTATCCAATAAATATAGCACATGTTAAGACTATATATATATATATATATATGATACCAGCACCATAAAAAATCATCTGGTAACAATACACAGTGCCACTAGTAACCCATTCAAATCATCCAAAATAAGAAAAATCTTAATTAAAAACATCAAAATCCTCTATAAAAACAACTGCAAAAAACGATTATAAATTCTGCAAGTGATCCTAATCAAAAATCAAAAACTGAACATAAATAAAATTACATTTAATGCTGGCAGAAACATATTAAACATATTTAATAACTAATCTTCCAATAAAAAACATCAATCCCCTCAATAATGAACTAACCCAACAATATTGTCTAATATTATCAACAAACAACATATTTTCAAAACCAAAACATATGCCATGATGATGGTTGAAGATAATTGAAAGTGCTTAGTAGAAAATCATCGAATGGGGTCCTACTTTAACAACTTCGACCCAAACATTACAAAACTTGTAAGAAAGCAAGAAAAAACCTGAGAAAAAGATATCAAATGGAAAAGTTTCGTTGTTTTCAACAAAACATGCATATATATATATATATATATATATATATATATATATCAGTAGTAATCCATTGGTATAATCCAGGTGAGTCCTATTAACACAACGTAGAATTTGAAATATGTTAAAACTGACTCACAAAAGAGTGCTCCAT